AACAAATAATCAGTAAAGAAGCTACAATTATTATAATGCAAAACTTTAAACTATCCGTTAAATATAAATGTTAGAATTATCATTATTTATTCGGATTATTCCTTTTCTGCTTGTTCAAATATTGAACAAATTCATAATTTTTCTGTCGAATATTGCAAATAATCATCTCTGCTTTGTCATTTTAAGTGCTAGAATAGGTAGGTAACAGACAGTAAAGTACTCGCTGAATTCGTAACTAGTTAAGGTTCACCGATGATATCGGTCGGCAATGGCGCGATATTTTTCCAAATGGCAGAAGTTAGAACTTATAAGTGGTTAGATTAGATTACCTGCTAGTGCTTGAATAGCATAAACACGCCTTTCCTGTAACCAGAAGTTCCGGAGTTCGATCCCCAGAAGGATCATTGTTGGTTACTAATGCAGGCTCTGAAACTTAAGGGTAGACAGCCGTTCACTACTCTCTGATTTTCAGTGGTTCCTCGATTGAAGTCTTTTTTTGATTAAACAGTTTCTTTTTTCTGAAAATGTTTAGGTGATGGTTCCGTGGGGATTTGTGTTTGATTGCATGAAGGATTGCATCATGTGCTGACATCAGTTAGGGAACCATTGGAAAACGTGAGAGTACTGGACAGCTATTTCGTCCCAGCTTCAAACTCTTCAGTGGTACGCAGCCACCGACAGGGTTCGAACCCAGGACCTTCTGGCTACAAGGCTACCGAGCTTGTAGACCATTAAGCCACTGGGACGCGATCCAGTGTCCAGATCATGAATTCTAAATTCTGCCAATTCACGACAAAGCGCGACCATTTCGCAATGTCGTGAATTGGTAGAAGTTAGAATTCATGAGCCAGCCAGTGGATCAGGTCCCAGTGGCTCAATGGTCTACGAACTCGCCTTGTAACCAGAAGGTCCTGTGTTCAAACCTTGTCGGTGGCTGCGTACGGATGAAGGGCCCTAAACTAGGACGAAACAGCTGTCCAGTACTTCCAGGTTTTCCTAAAATTATCCACTGTTAATTCATTTTTAGTGGTAGATTCAATTGAGATTAAATGTATAGTCGTGGGATATGTATGATAACGGTAATTGTGCGCGTGTTCACCTGTGTTAAATAGAAAATATTCTCAAGTATTTGCTTTCCTGGCGTTTTGTTTGATTGGTTGGAGGATTTCATCATGAGCCGACATCAGTTACAGAACCATTGGAAAAACAGCTGGGAGTACTGGACAGCTTTTCCAGGTTTTCCAGCGGTTCTATAACTGATGTCACCTCATGATGAAATCCTCCATCCTATCAAAAAAAATCCCTGCAAAGCCAATTCTTGAAAATTATCTGATGCTCACTAGCGACTAGCCGTATGCAGGCAGTCTCCTGGGGTTATTATTGGCAGCTGTGAACATTAGGGTACAGCGGGTTGAATATGAGGCAGTAATTCATCGAAGATAACATTGCGAAATGGACGTGCTTTGTCGTGATTTGGCAGAAGTTAGAATTCATGGTCTGGCCATTTGATCGAGTCAGGCTCCAGTGGCCTAATGGTCTACGAGCTCGTTGGCTTTGTGACCAGAAGGTCCTGGGTTCGAACACTGGTGACGGTGGGTGTGTACTGCTGAATACGCGTCCCAAACTAGGCTGACGAAACAGCTGGCTGTCAAGTACTGCCAGCTGGTTTTTCAATGGTTCTCTAACTAATGTCAGCCTATCATGAAATCCTCCATCCAAACACAAAAAATATGTTATTTTAGTGTAAATTGTGATATGAATAATAATAATAAGAAATTATGTTTCTGCTACATTTCAAAGCTATCTTTCGAACAAGATGTTGATAGACAGACAGGCAGACAGCCACTTATCAGATGTAAAATGATATAGATTATACTAGCGATATACGACAGCACAATTAAATTCTGGCAAACGTAGATCCATTCAAGTGTCACTGATTACATATGGCATGAGGTATCAATTCTTTTTGTATATACATTTTTTTATTCAGCCTTCTCAACATATGTGAATGATAACATTATAATAATATGCTGTGGGGGGGGGGGGGAAGTAAAGTTTAGTTGTACCATTTGTTGCCCCTTACCCCTAAATAAATTTATCTGATTTGGGCTTCATTATCCTTGGTACTTTTTTGATGGCTCAAATCCAAGCCTCACTGGAAAACTGGATAGTATAGTCCTTCTTGATGTGTAAAGTGATTTATTGAAGGTTCACACTGAAATCTTTATAACTGATAGTCATTCTTTAATTTTAATAGATAGAAGACCAGAAGTTCAGTGAAAAGTCTCTTTTCGGCAGTGAATTTATTTTCATATATGGTTGTTTTGTATGTGTGTGTACATTAAAATTGTCAAACGAAAATACAATTAGTAAGTTCAGATGAATTGGATGTTGATATATATAGGAGGGTAGTAAGAGAAGTGATGAGTTGTCACAAACAATTGTTTGAAGAAGAGTTATGTAATAATTTGAATAGTTTGATGAAAGACTTGTGCTCTGAGTGAACATGGAAACAAAATAACATACGGAATTATGAAATGATTTCAGGTAGTTAGAAAAATAAGCATACTAACAAGAATTAAGTGAAATCAAACAAACAAACAAACAAAAGTTATGTCAAATCAATGGAGTTGTTAACATGAGAGTAGAAGTGGTTGAATAATTTTCTTTTGCATGCGTAGTTCTGGTCCTTCCTAGTGAATGGCTAGGGCTTCTGCAATGCAAAGAAGACGGAAACGTGCTGTCTTTGGAAGGTTGTTCTTCAGTTTGTGGCGACTTGAACTGCCGCACATATGTGCAAAATTCTATGTCGTAAGCAGACAGACAGACAGACTTTGTAGATTACTTTGAAGGAGGTGTTTGTTGATATGGAGTGAGCAGTGTTGAGGAGGTGTTCGTATTTATATTTAGCAAAAGATGAAGAGTAGTCCATTATTGAATAATAATAATGGATAATATAATTTACATAATAACTCAAAAATGGTTTTTTTAATAAAAATAATACTTGGAACATTACGAAATAGTTATCGCCACATTGAAAGAAATTGAAATTTGGCATGGGTGAAAATCCCTTTTGAATAGGAAGACAGTTGTCTATCCCCTCGACAAGTGTGAAGAGTGTGAGAAAGTTTATAAAGACAACATGTAAGTATAATATTAGTGTATTAGTTATTAAAAATAAAGGATAAGAGACTGAACAGACCCATTTCTGTACACAGACAGATTTCAGAACTGTTTTAGTGAGTCACCAACGCTTCCATCATACACAAATTCCGAAACTTTTAACACTCCTTTTACCACTAATTCTCACGATGCATGTAATCTTAAAAGGTGACTGTGATGTAGCTGAGCAGCCTGATTTCACCAGGTGCTCGAGAATTGAGTTATTGATTGTTTTACGTCGTCTTATTTCTAAGCATGTCGACCGCGTCTGCAAACATTATTCGGCATGGTTTCTGTCCTAATTATGCTGATTTCATCTGAATGACTTCTAAACTTCTTTGAAGGACGAGGCGTTTGTTGAGATGAAATGACCTGTGTTGGCGAGATTTTCGATTATTGCACTCCTTGTATGGCTACTACTTCCTTTCTGCAGCCAAGCTGGATAGTGTCCTTTGACCCTTTTTTACAGGATGAGCATTGAACCACCGATGTGCTTGGCTCCATAGCAACAGGTGAACTGCTGTATACACATAAAAGTGGTTAGGTGTGGTTCTTTTCCTTTGGGCTTCTGAAGATCAGCGGGCAACTGGAGAACACTACTCTCAATGTTGCCGCAAAGAAAGTTCTTAAAGAAGTCGAAATTCTCTTTCTAAGTACATCACTGAGTAGATTATTTGACGTCAAGGTTAATATAAATTATCTGTTTTGGCACAGATGGTGTCCCTTGCTTTTGGATTTTCTTTTGATGCTTTGTCTACGAATCTTGATGGATAACCGTTTGTAGGAAGATTTCTTTGTGAAAAACGTACCAATTGTATTTTCATTTGACAAATATAATGTACATAAACATACAAAACAACCATATATATATATTTGCGATTGCACAGCTATGAAAATGAATTCTCTGTCGAAAAGAGACTTTCCTGAACACTGGTCTTCTGTCTATTAATGTTCCAATGGGAATTTTTCCTAATTTTTTTGTTTGTGCATGTTCAGGGATAGTTTAATTTCAGACAGATATATTTGTACAAATACGTTACTTCTCCATCTAGGTTCCAAAAAGCCTAATTTAAATGATATTGCATTAAATCCCAATAAATGTCAGACAGTCAACCTAACCTTTAAAGCATACACGTGGTCTACACCCTAACTGGTTCACTCATATGATGATGCTTGTAGCATAGCATAAGGGACACTTAAGTATAATTTATATTTTGGGTAAAATTTGTTTTGATAAGGTCTCACAATGTGTTATACAGTAATGTTTACTGATGACCACGTTTCGAGTACAATTTATTACTGCGCTCGTAATCATATCAAGGCACTACTCACACAACATACTAACTTCGTTTATATAGTTCCATCACTATTTTTCATATTGCTTGATTTGATTGGAGTCATTCCTATAACATGTGTTGGGTGTAGACTCGATGAACCAAGATTCAGCAATCAGCCTCTCTCCCTCTCCATCTACAAACATTAATTTTTAGACTTTTAACCGTTTCCCATCACCCTATTGTGTGGTTGTGTGTTAATGCATACAGTGCGGTTGCTGAGCTTTTTTCTAAATTACCTTGTCAGGGTCAACCATTCCTAACTTATCTGTGCGTCGGTGGCACAGTGGTTAGGACTCTCGCTGACCATGCACATGGTCCGGGGTTGGGTCCCCTGCCGACACACACCTGATATCTATGGTTGGCCAGCAAAATTTGGGCTACCAATATCAATGCTGAAAATTCCATGCTTGTAGCAAGAGTACAGTGTGGAATCAAGCTGTAATCAAAAATAAAAAAAATTAGCTAAATTCTTATGTTCTTTTTTAATTACTTTTCATTTAGGTCTACTATCAACAATCAATCCCTGTTCAGAATCAGGTTCACCTAAAGTTGGCTTAAACCATTTTGTATCCCAAGGGACACCAACTATCGTCTCAAATCCAGCATCTATCAGTTCACTTACAAATGATACTATTGCACTTCAGACAAATTCAACATCTTCAACTAGTCCTAAAATTACTGATTCAAGATGTAGAAGTCATTTTTCACGTGTAGATGCAGCTTTAGTAGCTAATAACAATAATAATAACAACAATAAAGATACGCCACAAAGTCGACCAAGTAGTACAGGGAGTAAAATCTTCAAACGATTTCTACGTCATATATCACCGAAACTAAGACGTAGTTTTTCAGGATTTTCAAATAGAAGAAAAAGTGAAACTCGAAAACACCAGGAAACAGATCTCCAGTTAACGGATTCACTTAACCAATCGACTTCAGCATTTGAACGTTGTAAATCAGATCGTCATTATTCGAAATCATTTCTTTGGTTAATTCCTCGTTGTTCAAGTCGTTCAAAGGAGAATAAAGAAAAGGAAAAAGAAAGAGAAAAGACAATTGCAGAAGGTAAGTGGTCATTAAAAATCTTCACTAGTGGATAATAAATTTTCTTATATGAAATTTTATCGTTATCACTCATTCCTTAAGTTCTGAGTTGAACCTAAGGCTTCACCGGAACGCCTTTATTGTACTTTTTTCCCTGTTATAACTTCTCAACTGGATCTATGGCTGTACACAAGCTTTGTTTCCCCTTCACATGATGTTCTGCATATCGCGCCCAACATTCAGCTCATCGCCAGCTATCCAGGTTCCGATTGAGGGCCTTATATGTAATGTCAGCTAAAAGTCTCTTCAGAATACAAGTCTAGTCCCTCTTGATTTCCTTCTGCACATTTGTTGGCCACTATATTCTTGGCTATTTCGCTGCTTTTAAGAGTTCCTTGTTCTTTACTGGCCAGTTGGCGAAAACAGCCTTTTTATGAAACTGTTTAGTCTGCTAGAAATATTTCCAAGTGTTGGTTTGTAGGGATTTGATCGGTTACAGGATTTCATCATGAGAGACATCAGTTAGAGAACCATTGGAAAACCAGCTAGCGGTACTGGACAGCCAGCTGTTTCGTAAGCCTAGTTTGGGACTCTTATTCAGCACTATGCACCAGTGACAAGTTTCGAACCCAGGACCTTCTGGTTACAAGGTGAGCTCGTATACCATTAAGCCAGTGGCACCTGATCCAATGGCCCATGAATTCTAACTTCTGCCAATTCACGACATAGTTAGAATTCATGGGCCATTTGATCAGGTGCCACTGGCTTAATGGTATACCAGATCGCCTTGTAATCAGAAGGTCTTGGGTTCGAACCTTGTCGGTGGGTGCATACTGCTGAAGAGTTCCGAACTAAGATGAAACTGCTGTCCAGTACTCCCAGGTGATTTTCCAATGGTCCTCTAACTAATGTCAGCTCATGATGAAATCCAGAAATGTTTCCTTTCGCTGCAGCACTCACTGAGTCTATGAAATCTTTAGAAGTATCGTTAATGTTTTTGATGTGGTTGTGTTCTCCGAGCTGGATAGTTGATGTGCAAAGCTTTCATTGGCCGTCCTACTAGGTGACATCTTCAGCGGATACTACTTCAATTTGAAGTGAGATTTTAAATTTCTCCACAAGTTTGTTAGTCATCTCTCCTAGTGGGTAACCTTGAACGTGATTGAATGTTATTGTGTGTTTTCACACCCTCTAGGCGACTACTTGTATTGGGACTGATTGTTTCCTTGACTTGAAATTTTAAAAGTTCGTTAAGTATCGTTAAAATTCAGGTGTTGTTTTTTGTTCTGAGTACTGTAGATTTCTGCCCTGATTTCACAGTAGTAAGAGCCTGTCGAGTCTTTACTGTCTTGCTTTCAAAAATACTATTGAAACTAAATTGAACATGATTTCCTGAAATCGTGTGAGAGACTGTTCTTATCAGATTTTGTTTGTAATAAAGAAGTTCATTACTGAATTTCTTTAAGTAATTTCACTAAAAGACCATCAAAGTTCAAAGAATAACCAGTGAATAGGATTATTTCCTCAGACATCTTGTTCAAAACCATTAAGGGATTGATCTGAATTTCCTGGGTGGAACTATACTGTTCATCTAAGGATTTTCACATATCTTGACAGTTTCGTTCGGAAACGCTTACTTATTATTATTCTCTTGGGTTCCGATTGGATCATAGGGCCTGAAAAACACATTTTCACTTTGTTCTATTTAGTGCTGTCCTCTTCAGCTGGGTCCATAATTGCCCATAATCTTTCATCTCCTCCTTGCCACACGATCCTCTCCATTCTGCCCTCGAACCAGTGACACACTCGTCGCTTCCCATTTGACGGTCTCCTCAATGTATGCCTGATCCATCTCCATTTTCTCCAACATATTTGTTGATCAGTCGGCTCTCATCTGTTGGTTTGCCGCCTGCCAGGCAGAGTTTCTTGTTGCTAATTCTTGCTGGCTGGCTGACCGTTCAATCTTCAGTATGCAACCAGCGAAGGAGGCAGCCGTTGATAAAAGTCGGAAGTAGCCTGTAAGAAATCGGTTCCATGTTGAGCTAAGTTTGCTGCCAGTATAGAAGAAGTGACAGACAGACAGACTTCACATCTTTCTTGAAAATATCCGAATCTTGTTCTTTATGCTGGCTGAGTTAAAGCAGAAGACTTCCAAAATGGCTCCAGGTTGAGGAAAGTTTATCTTGCCTTTGAAAGTTTAGCCAGCTTTCACAACTTCACCGTCTCCCCCTGTGTTTGAAACGATGCTTCTTAGATAAATGAAGGAAGTAACCTCAGTCAAATCTCTCCTTTTGATGGTGATTGGTGCTGTTTGTTGTTGTTGTTGCTGTTGTTGTTTGTCTTTAACACCTCCGCCTTCTCTACGTTCACCTGGAGTACTGTCTTTGCTGCAATGCTTTTTCAGTCTTTCTGTTGGTTTTTGCTTGCAAGTCTGCGAAATTCAGTTCTTCTAGAGTCCCCTACGCACAGTTTGATGCATAATCGAATTGACCACAATTAGGAATATCATCTGTACTGGTGAGCAGGTAGGCAGCTTTGTCTCTCTCCCGTATTCACTACGAACGCCTCGCTTAGTTTTCTGTTGTGGATCACGTGACACAACGGAAACACTCACTAACGTTTGAAATCAAGTATGCACTTGCATGAACATTATTTTTGATACTATTACTCCCTAAGGTTTCAAGTGGAAAATAGAGATTCAACGCCACACCCTGGTCTCTGCAGTTCTCGTTAGTTAGCTCTATGATTGCCTATTAGCTTGCATATCCCTCTTTCACATTATCTCCAGTAAATCATACTAAGAATTAAGCTGAACTTGTCATTTCGCATTCTGGTTCCACTAAAGCGATTGCCTGGCTTGCAATGCCACCGAATATTCCCTTCAGTGTGTCCATTCGCTTCGGAATGATTTATTGAGCGATAAGTTCCTGTTTTAGTTGATTCCCAGAGTTCTTTGTTGCTCATTCTTTCTGATTTTCAATATCGATCCAACGAAGGTAGCTGTCAGTGAAAGTTATCAAACTGCTTGAAATGCTTTTCACAACACACACACTTATTCTCTGAAGCATATTGAAGCATTGACTAACTTGACTTAGGCGTTGAAAATCTGAATCCTGTTTTTTTTTGCTGACTGTAGCAGATTTCTACACTGAGTTCAGAATAAAGACTTTCTGGTGTGCTTTTCTTTTCCTGTCTGGCTTGTTTCTTCCGACAGTGATGTGTGTGTACGGTGTTGTTAGACGATGATTGTCCTCATCACCTATTTCTCTTGAAGTCCTGTCTTCTCCGCTTGCTTCTTGCTCTTCGCTCATTGTTCATTTTCATCTTTAAATCTTTGAGGTTTTCTGACACTCGATATAAACCATCTACAAAGTCCAGAGCTTCTAGTACCTTTGCATCAGTCCGACTTATTTCTGTCTTCTTGATACTCCCCATGTTTTTTTTTTGCATAATTCAAGCCCTACGTTAGTAAATCACTTATTCACTAATTCTAATAATAATAATTTGCTTTATTCCAAATCAGTACTTGTGATATAGAATGGAATTCTCAGCATTTCACTACATACAGTATTGCATCCAGTTAGTAAATTAACAATAAATAAAATTCTACACAGATTATGGGTAATCTCAGTTAGTTTTGACAACAACATATTAGCATATCGGTAGCAAAGCCAAAAATTGAACAGAGTGTTTGGAGGTGTTAGAAAAGTAGACGGTAGCATATTTACTGGCGTAAGCGATAACAAAAAGGTCGAGGTATACAGAGTGTGAAAGAACCAAGAAGAATGTTTTAAATAGAGTTTGTAAGGAGGAGAGAAACAAAGCAGCACATAACAGAAAAAAAGAGAGGGGAGAAAAAGAAATAAAGAAAACGTTGTACCTATAAATGATATGAGTTGGAAAGACGAGATCCAGTTGTTCTACTGACTATTTAATAAGTTATAAGTTTCACACCTGCCTGATGAGACACAAGGGGAGAGTTGTGAATGAAGAGGGTAGTGTGAGTTAGATAGAATGGATTTAGCGCATTTTTCACATAAGTCCAAGTGCCTGTCAACCAGAATATTAACGAGCTGGTTAAGTGGCACGTTGCTTACCCTGCTGACAACCTTTAACATCCTACGTAATAAGGCATAGTCTTTCTTCAGTAGCCCTGAAAAAACTGAGGGGGAACGATAGTAAATAATAGACAGGATGCAATAGTTAACGAATCGTAGGAGTAAGCGTTGAGTTGGGTTATTCCAGAATGTCTTAACTTCTTGATGTTTAAGGTAAGACGGAATATTTTCTTAGAAATCATTCAGATATTAGGCGACCAGGAATGATCAGCAGATAGAAGAATGACGCCAAGATATTTAATTTTCGACTTGGTCTCTATTTCAATGCCATTTATGTTGCACACCTCGTGTGAGTGCTCACCACTTTGTTTAGGTTAGATTTATGCCCTGAAGGTGAAATTGACTGTTTGGCATTTAGAAGGGTTTAGGGTTAGATAGTTTTCCTTTGACGACTGGCTGATTTCTGATAAATACTCATTTACATTGGAGCTGTCACTGTCTGGTCATCAGCATATTTAACAAAATTAATGTCATTTGAGAGGGTAGAAAGAAATAAAAGATAAGTTGGGAGAGTACAGCACCTTGGGGGACACCAGCTTCAATGAGCACTATTATATAATGTGTAAAAGATAGAGTTGTTGGTAGCTTGCTTGGTAGCTAGCGTCTGTTTAGGTACGCTTAAAAAATTAAATGAAGTAAATGCAGACCAGTTTTCTCTTTCTTTTTTTAAATAAGAATGGCATTTCGATGAGTCATTTTGTCTTCAGAATTTTATTTTATTTTATGTTGCTTTTTTTTGTTTTTGTCATTGGTGTCAGTAATTGGAAGGCTGAAAACTGTTTACACACACACTCTATGTAAGAGACATATATAATACTCGTATTTGTACTATTAACAATTACAAAGTGGAGGCGTTTTCTCTCCTTCTAAGAAAGAAATCACACTTTCAAAACAAACCTGGTC